AGCCTTGTCTACGCAACATGGTTGAAGCGACAAGCAAACCTTGAGGAATGTGCACAGCTATACGCATCTCGAAATAGTAATCATAATTATTTTAAGCATAGGAGCAGTGAGTTGCTACATTTCCAGACGCTTAGCAGGCATCGTACTCGGCATCATCAACGAGCCTTATAGGTCTTAACGCCAAGCTAAAACTCATCAAGAAGACTAGTGAAGTCCAGCTCTTGACCAGCTTTCTGCTTAACGATTGTGGTATCTATTCTGTCATGGCACAACCACCTACCTCACATCCTCTATCTAGCTCAACGTCTAATTTGGTTAACTGGAATACCACCTAAGTATGACATTTGGAGAGATGGGTTTGTTTTCGGCCATCCATATGCTGTATTTGTTGATCCTACTTGGACATTTTAGTCCTCAAACCACTAAATGCAATTCCTATCCAAACCTCCGTTATGCCCATTGTGCGAGTGGAAGGGATTCGTAAGTTGGTTCCACCGGAGGCTATAAGGGAGTTGCCTTGGAGCTGTGAGGGTAGATTTGTGCGAATAGGTTCTCGGCGCACTGCCTTGCCACCTCGATGACGAACAAAAGCTCAGCAAGGATTTATCAAGATCGCAGGGCGGTGCGCTGAGGACCTATTCGCACAAATTTACAGCCGCAGCTCTAAGGCAACCCCCTCCCACAGCCTCCGGTGGAACCAACTTACGAATTCCTTCCACTCGCCTCTTCAAACGAAATCAAAGGTACACTAACATCAATCTATTAAGTGATTCTTCGAAGCCCAGTTTTCTACATAGCTAGTAAGAAGTTGCAATTAGTCATTGAATTATGAGCCAAAGTAAGCCCAAAAAAATGTGATCCTCTAGACAGGGTAATGTTGGCTAAATTAATATGCTACTGAGGAGTATTAAGAAGAATCTGCAATTTACTCAAAGATTTCACTAATGAGTGCTTATATGGTGTTAAAAATATTAAATAAATTGATATTCTACGAGCTTTGCAGTTTTAAATGTAGGTAAAACACCCTGTCTGCCTGGTGAATGCTAAATAAAGGCATAATAAGTTTAAAGGCTATATCTTGTATATCAATCTGATTAATTAAGCAGTGATTAGAAGTTTGTTTTAAAAATACAATCTACATTAAAAGCTGGTTGTCAAAAACAGATTCAAGCTCATCCCAGCTATAAGAAGAATGAAAAAGAATGTCACAAGGCCATAAGGAAATCCATTTCTGCGACACTCGCTTGTGAAGCAAATGACCATCTTGCTTCAGCTTCTGATGGGGCTGGCACGTAAAGTGCTACACCGAATATTATTTTCAGAAGTACAAGAATATAAATATGAACCTGATTTGAAAGTGTCTATATACAGTCAAAAGTGCTACCCATACAGAATTAGAAAATTTAGACTAGATTTGAGGTGAACTACAATCCAGATGATAGAATGGAGAACAAACCACTTGGCTAAGTGAGCGAATGTGAGCATGTGATGTGTAAACACCCATGAAGACCAGTTCTTACCGGAGAGATCTATACGCAAGTGTGGAACGTGTAGACGAGTGAAAGCTGTGGCCATCGATTGACTCAACGCCAAATGGCGAAACAGTTGCTGATGCATTCGCGCAATTACCACTGGCAGTTCCAGTTGCCATAGTATTAAGGCCACTGCTCTGAGTCGCGGGAGCTATGGAAAGAGAAGTTTGCGGCGGCGGAGTAGGTCGTTTAACAATCGCGCTTCCAGAGGGATAACTGGAAGATGAACTGGAAGCGATGAAAGGAAATAAAAACAAAAATATTAAAAATAAGCAAAGGTAAGGAAGAAGAATATTGGGAATAGTCAAATGGAAACAAGTTATGAAGACTTTGCAGGTGGAAAGGATAGAAATAAATAGTTAAGTAAGAAAGCTAGACATTCGTTAACTAATAATATCATCTACAAAATGAGCATGGTCCAAAAAAAGAAGCCTTTACATGGTGTTACCAAAGCATAGGTCGATATTAATAGGCTGGGCTTCAAAATAACCTAGAATTAAGAAATTACGGAATGAACACCAAGTCCTTCAAGTGGACAAAGGAGGAGTGACAGTGACAATGGATGGAAAAAAATATACCGAGAAGAGGGAATGTATATTGCGAGACATGTATAATGTATTAAAGATAGAGCAAATATGAGGATAACTGGAGCCTTATGTGATAGAAGAGTATCATTTTTTCCGTCGCGGTCACCTGAATAGTCTATGAGATAAAGAAGAGTAATAGCACAACCGTTCGATAGAAAGTAGGTAAAGAGATTGACTTCAATTGTCTCTTTGACGAGTTGTAGCTCGATGCTGGGATCGGCAAGAATCATTAAAGATACCGGCGAAGCGTCTTGGAATGTACCAAGTCAATTTCCCGACTCTAAGAATTATGATAACTATTAGAGCGGAGGACTTCGGACAAGGTGCGCCCAACTAAGGCAGCCTGACAACATGACCAGGTAGCAAAAGCGAGGTCGGACCACTTCTATACATCGAAAGAAGACTGCGACCAAAATAGAGGCCACAATATCTTGGTCTTTATATATAAGGCAAATAAATCGGAACTGAATGAGATGATGCAGTCAGGAAAGGATAAAAATAGCAGCCAAAGAGCAAATTGCGCCAGGAAACAGCCACTCGGGCATCCTACTTTTTGCAAGTCACAAATAACTATTTAGATGTAAATTCATCTACCGATTCCACTGATTTGACGAGACATAGAAAGAAAAGAATGAATCAATTAGATATATGAGCTGTGTTAATCCTATTTCATTTAAAGTGGTGAAGGACTGGTAGTTAAATTTTCCCACAAAGATATGAGTAGACATGACGTTATCACTAGATTTCACATAGTTTTGCTTACCTAAAAGGTATTCCCACTCAGGGAGTACTACCGTTTCGATCTCGCCTAAGTCTTATCAACTCCCCCAGTGGGACTCGAACCATGACATTGAAGTGCATAATCTCGACACTTTAATCACTACGCCACATTGCCACGAGCGCCCTTTGGTCACAGGGCCAATTTCAAGGAGGGTCAGACATTTCCCCATATCACATTCTGTGGTGGGATTGCTGATGATGAAATCTTATATTTGATATAGCAATAGGCGACATTACTTATTTTTCGTTTAGACTAGGCTTTCGAGACTACCAGTAAACCTAGTCGAAACGAAAAATGAAAAGATCATCCTCCTAGTATTGTCATGAAGTGAATCAACAAATCAAACTGTCTTACCTGTTACCAGGTGCGATCATATTGTTTGTCATTAACGAAGCCTTTCGCAGAACCGAGCCCGGCAGTGCAATCGTCGTCGCTGCCCCCGTTGAAGTCGTCGAAATTTGCCCACCACCAGATAGAGTCGGCTCGAAACTAGAAAGCTGCACAGGTGTTGCGGGTACGATATACGATGGTGACGAGGATGAAGATGAGGCAGCTGAAGAAGCCGCCGATGCGGATGATGAAGTGGGGGAGGTTGCAGCATGAATGTCTCCATCGATTCCTGTAGGGGGAAGGGAGGTGAGTTGAGGCGCAGCAGCTAGCACTGCAATGACGTTGGCATCCCCTCCAAGAACAGCTTGACCTCGACAAGTTTCTATTGGCATTGCCTTTGCCCAGCAAACCTGGCTTTTATCCCCATTAGGGAGCAAAGGGGATGGTTGTGGTTGAACATAAGGCGCTGTCTCATCTAAGTGTTTGCGACGCAGAGACGGGCCTTCAGTACGAGTGTTTATAGAGTTTAATTCTTCGGCTTTAGCAAGTGGAGCAGTCCCAACAGACCCTGATGTTAATGGAGGAGGAGATGAAGAGGCAGAGGACGAGGACGAGGATGGAGAGACGGTAGTGGCTTTGCCAGTGGTAGATAAAGACATCGTTGTTATTGTCGATGGAACTGTAGCAGGGTGTGTGGAGGCGGGGCTGGAAATGGCACCGCGATGCATGGGCACTGCAGGAGGCTGCTGGTGTGGTTGGGATTGTTGGACGAACTGTTGACTAGGTCGAGAGGAGAGCGGATCGAGTGTGGCAGAGGGGGCTGTCGAGGAGACTGAGAGTGGAACATAAAAGGAATGTAGATATAATGCTACTTTGATGTGGCAAAAATACACAACTTTCAATGATCAAATAAATAATAAGAAATGATTTTCCCTCAAAAAAAGAAAGCAATCGGTAAAGTTA